AGCGATTATGTTTTGACCTTCTGCCGTTTATGTGGTAACGAGGACGTAAGCAAACCAGCCCTTTTGGCGTTTCGGCTGGGACCGTATGCTGAATGTTGGGGAGGGGATGGGGTCCCCAACGGTCGACGGTTTACTTCAACTCGGTTGGTACGATAGGAGAGTACTGACGCAAGTGGTGCAGCTGGTCCAGTAGCTTCGCCAGAAGGACCGGTCTGCTCACCCTTGGACTAAGCCTAGGAGAGGGGACGGACCGTCTCTTTAAGGCTTAGTTCTAAGGTAAGCGCCAAATTGTGGCGGTTCTAAGGACCGCGTTGAAGTTGTCCGTCCACCGTCGGGGACCATCCCCTCCCCAACATTCAGCATACGGTCCCCAGCCGATGTGCCAAAAGGGCTGGTTTGCTTACGTCCTCAACGCAATGCCAAACAATTCTTGGTAGCTGGTGCGTTTCCTTATCTTTAAGACTGGATTGTGGATGGTGTCGGTGATGCGGATGGCTTCACACGAACGGTGACAAATAGCTGTGCTGCATTTCAAACGTTGAAAGATCTATGGTCTCGCTTATTAGTCGTTGCTTGATGGAGCGTCTCCTTTAAACCTCAATATCATATCAGTTCTTGGATGTTGCTGTGAGCAGATAATGAAGATGTCACAGCATTGAGTTCGGGTATGTGGGAATTATTTACGTTGATTGGCACTTTGAAAATTTGGCTTGGAGTGGTTGAGAGATAGAAGCGGTGGGTCGTAATCAAATGAAAAACCTGTCTGCGACGGGACAGTGGTAACCGACAAATGAATGAGCTGTTATTCTCTTCTTCCTTTTGTTCTCTTTTGTTTTTTGTTTTGTAACTGTGTTTTTATTTTTGACTGTGAGCTGGTAAGAGATCCATTCACTGCCTGTCTGCGTAGGAAATAGATCCTTTGTGGCGTACAGAACGTTAACTGTCCTACTGTTCTGTTTCTTGATGTGGTGGATTCCAGGCACAAAGCCGCTGGATGTTCACTGGTGGAGAAGATCATTCATGCAGAGTATATGAGATGCGAGTCAATCAGCTCGTTTGTCAGAGAGTATTTGATGTGAGTCGCTAGATTTTCTTACTTTTGGGCGCTATTGTATATTATTTTTTGCTTCAATATGGGATAAACATAGTCGTAGATGTGTCCAAAGTCGTCAAGGGACAGCGGAATTGAGGGAAGGTTTGCAGATCAAGGATCATTTTATCTCCTCCTAACCTTACCTCGGTTTTTGCTCCTTTTATGAAATCTTTTTTAGTGGCATTTCTCTTGGCGTCTTGAGATCCTGCTTCTTTTTCGTACGCTATTCACAACGCCTAATGGCGACGTTCCTTTTTTCGTACCATCCCCTTTTAACATGCTTTGGTTTGCTCATAAGCTTTTCATTCTTTGGACGCGGAGGCTTGTTGTTGGGCTATCATTTTATGAATATAACAATTGTTGTTCTTCATTAGAATGCCAAAAACTGAATAGTTCCACTTTGTATAGCTATGAAGTTTGCAATGTCACCATCGATAAGGAAATAATACACACTCTTGTGCTGTACTACGAGAATCAATTAATTGCATATTACTCGCTCTTTACCAACTTGATCTAATTTTGTTCGTTTATTTTTGTTTTGACTTTGCACTTTTTTCAGAATTTGGATCCGGTGACTAGCGTGGTCATTCATGGGAACCAAGTGGAGCTTTTTATCGCCGACCAAGCAGGCCAGTCGGCTTTTGTTTTAATTTTCCCATCGAAGTGCCAACGACTTGTGCATTCTCGTGGCAGTGTTTCTTTCTAAACATCGGGAAACCTGCCTTTTTCTCAGAAGCGCATTTGTTTAGGTCAAGTGTACGTCTGGGATTTGCGACGAGATGGGCATATGCAGCTGCCGATGCCTCCTCTCTCGTATCAAGAATTTGTTACAAATCTTGCCATACATCCCTCAGCGAACCTCCTTGCAGGGGTGACAAATAGAGGTACTGGATTTTGAGTTGGAATTTTCACTACTCTAAACTCATCTATTATTTTAGGTTATTTGATAGTGTGGGATCTTAGTAACGGATCGGATGAATGGGCGCAGAAGTTGGTAAGTGGCACTGAATATGTTTTATTTATTCTAGAAATAAAGGAATATAGAATTCA